TGGACTTGGCGTACAGGGGTGCTGGAGGTAAAGGTTGGAACTAGACATAAGGTTGGGGGTAGCCATAAGGTTGGAACCGGGCATAAGGAAGGCATATCAACTCGTGATGGGTGATGTCACGAGGGCTTGTGTAGCCGTTGTTGTGAGTTCTCTTCTTGTGACGTGTGTAGTCACAAGGGCATGTGTTGCCTAGGCATGTGTTGCCTAGGCATGTGTTGCCTAGGCATGTGTTGTCATCGGTCTTGTCTTTATCCTTTGTGTTGTGGTTATCCTTCGTGGACTTGAAAATGAAGATCCACATAAGCATCTAAAGGAGTTCCACGTGGTATGTTCGAGCTTCAAACCACAAGGAGTGACGGAAGATCAAATCAAACTACGTGCCTTCCCATTTTCATTAGCCGAGAAAGCAAAGGATTGGTTATTTTACCTCCCTCCTAGCACAATAACCACATGGGCGGATATGGTAAGACTATTTCTTGAAAAGTTTTTTCCAGCAAAGGATTGGTTATCTACATGTTTAAGGCTTTTAAATAGCATGTTTTTAGGGGGTGTTACACACACAGTCTCAAGTATGAATATAAACAGTTACAACACTTAATCATAGATCCCAATAGATATACATAAACACTTATATATGCTTGCAACCTATAACTCATATCAATATGCTTTAATTCATAACTCATACTTGAATACATTCACATGCTATAAACATATATAAACCAATTATAGTCTATTATACACTACTCACAGACATGTTGATAGATAAGGCAATAACTGAAGTTTAACAAGTAAAATCATGCTTTCATGCTAACACTTAAACAATGATAAAACTGTACTTCTCAAATGCTCTAAATGAAACATACGCTAAGTCATGATACAAGTAAGGATATGATGCTATAAATATATAGATATGCTCTCACTCTTTATGTAACACCCCCCAAACATACTATATAAAAAAGCCTTAACACATGCAGATAACACAACAAAACACTAGCACAGCGGAAGATAAAAAGGTAACTGGATAAAAGTAAATCCAAAACAGGGGTGTTATGCCACGTTTACCAACAATGATAAACGCTACGGCGGTCAAATCTGCATTGTGTACAACTATCCCAAACTCATAAGTCTAACACTACATCGGCTCACAGGCCACAAAGCAAGGAAAAAGGCACTAAAATATCGGCCACTAGACACCGCGCTCGTCTAGACATCACCTGTAAGAACACAAAAGATAAACATGGGACGACGCCCGGTCAGCGATAATGCTGGTAACCCACCAATACCTGTTAAGTATCATACATAGATAAGATATATACAAAATCATTTCGAAACGGAATACATATATATAAGTGTAAAACCGAGAGTAAACACCAATTCAAGACTCAACACTCTTCAAAGATAACACGGGAACACATCCCAAGACCACAAAGGACAACAACAACTCAAGGATAAAGACACGACCAATGGCAACACATGCCTTTGTGACTACACACGTCACAAGAGAGAACACACAACCACGGCTACACAAGCCCTCGTGACATCACCCGCCACGAGTTGATATGCCTTCCTTATGCCCGGTTCCAACCTTATGGCTACCCCCATCCTTTTGTCTAGTTCCAACCTTTACCTCCAGGACCCCTGTACGCCAAGTCCAACCTTATTCCTCCAAGGACCGTCATCCCCTCTCCAACAGATCTCCAACAGAACCACCGATTTCATAGTACACGAGGTACCGTACACACACATGGCAACACATGCCCTGGATAACACATGTTATCCCCCATAAACACGTGAACCTCACACAAAGGCCACAGCTCCATAATCACGTCACGGCCACTACGAGGACCGCTGCAATACCTTAGTGACTAGTGTCCCATACCACTAATCGTGCAATCCAGGTAAAGCCACACACGCATCACACCTCAACAAGAATCAATCAACGGATCACAACGAAGATATGAAACATACTCAATCAAGGAATGGGTCACCGCCCAACAACAACAACGATGAATAACACAAGTTATCATCAACCAGTCGGAAGGTACAAACAACACACACGCTAGCATTTAGACACCAAACTAGCATGCTCATCAAACGGATATACCAAAGGCAGTTCCGAAAAACACACAAGACTCATCACGGTTCAACGAAACACAATGTTGAACACTTAGCACGATTCAAGACACCAAAATCCTACATGGATACCTACCATATAGTTCTAGACATACGAAACATCAAGAAGACACTCAAATGGTTCCACAAAAGAACATCGTGAAGTCAAAAGACCAAATACCGAGTCAAAAGAATCACGGGGAACAAATCCCCAACCAACTCCACTTGTGTACCCGCGGGTAGGCCCACGAGTAGGCCCCTACCCGCGGTTCTGCCCACGAGTACAGGTCTCCCCAAACGTGTACCCCGCGGGTGGGCGGCGGGTGGGCCTCCTACCCGCCGTTCCGCCCGCGAGTACAACCTGTACCACTTCCACACACTTCGCGAATTTTATCTCCAAACTCAAATTCAAGTCCAAAACATGCCAAATCTCACCCAATACAACAAAATGACTTAAATCATAGGAAATGCCAAGCAATGGCACAAATGAACCCTAAACACAAGCTCTAGATATGCATTTTCACAAGACAAATGCATAAACACTCACATTTCATAGCAAAACACAAGTAGAATCCAAGAAATCACATATAGGTAAGCAAAGTTAATCTCATTCAGCTACTGACTCTTTCATCTCATCTCATTCTTTGAATTTTTATTGGAATAAAGGTCAAATAGGTCATCGAACTATACACCAAAATGCAATAAGGCCATTGAATGCAATTCTTCTTCCTCCTCTTTATTTTCCTTCTCTTTCTCCTCTTCTTCCTTCCCTTTCTCCTTCTCCTTCTCCTCTTTCTCCTTCTCCTTCTCCTTCTCCTCCTTCTCCTTCTCCTCCTCCTTCTTCAGCTTCTCCTTCTCCTTCTCCTTCTTCTCATTCTCCTTCTCCTTCTCATTCTTCTTCTTCTCCTCCTCCTCCTCTTCCTCCTCCTCCTCCTCCTCCTCCTCTTCCTCCTCCTCCTCCTCCTCTTTCTCCTTCTCCTTATCTTCCTCCTCCTCCTCCTCCTCTTTCTCCTTCTCCTCCCCTCCCCCTCCCCATCCCCATCCCCATCCCCATCCCCATCCCCCTCCTACTTCTTCTTCTTCCCTCATCCTCCTCCCCCTTCTCCTTCTTAGAATTTAGGCCTTCTTTCTTTTTTATTTTTTTTTAATTTTTTGTTTTGTTTTGTTTTGTTTTGTTTTTTGTTTTGTTTTTGTTTTTTTTTTAAATTTTTTAGAATTTAGGCTATAGCTTTAATAACTTAAATATAAAAAATAATTATCAAATAATATTATCCACAATATACCAAATTATATATTTTACTTTGTATTACATTTTTAGTGTTAGTACATTTGATTCATTATGTATTCACAAACACGACAAAAGATAAAATCAATTAAAATCATTAATGAATATGACAAAAACATTTAATAAAGGGAAAATCGCATTTTTGGTCCCTTAATTAGTAGCCCATATGTAATGTTATCCCAACTTTTCAATTTGGACAAAATTGGTCGCTCAATTATTCGACCCTTAGTCAATTTTTAGTCCTTCTGTGAGTTAATTAGTTTAACTCCGTTTAAACCGTGGATATACTTGGAATTTCACATAGCATTGTTTATAATAAATATATTTCCTCCCATTCTTTCGTCCGGCCTGGAATTTCACGTAGCATGGTTTCTACTAGCAGTCTCATTCTCACGACCAACCGTAGTAGTAACTGCAGCTGAAACCATGCATGGCCCTTTTGCCAACACTTAGAGAATTATCAGACACACCACCACGGGCAAAAATAGAAGCAGAGTGACGAAGGGGATGAGGAACCTTACCTGGCATAGCCACAGACTCCTTTATTGTTGTGGTAGCAGAAGACTTAGCCATAGTTTGACCATCACGAGATCAATATGGCTTGGATCTCTGCCTTATATGTTTTCGTCGACGCACCGCCATGCCAGCTACACTCGCCGGCCTTCTCACCGGAGTCCCTCCAGCCAGCGACGAGGGTGCAGGAGCCGAAGACAAGCCCTCCTCCACCACCATCGGACGAGACCTAGTTCTTGCCCCCTCCGTAGGGACTCGGCCACCACCAACAAACACGATGAGTCTAGCCTACGGTCGAGAAGGCATAGCACTAGCCTCCACCTCTCCCGCCATCAAAGACACGGCAGGACCATCCCTCTCTGTTACGAGACCACCAAGCGCAGTCACGACCAACGGAGCGCTGGAAGCCGGGGCAAGACCATCGCTTAGGGGCCTTCGAATTGAGTCCAAGTCAGAAGAAACAGCATTCGCCGCCACCCTGAGGCCAACGCCACCAACCGTTCTGGACTCCTCAGGTCGCTAGAGACTCACTGACAACGAACCAAATCCCGGAAATTCTGGCGATCGCTATACACTTATTATAAACAATGTTATGTGAAATTCCAAGTATACCCATGGTTTAAACGGAGTTAAACTGATTAACTCATAGAATGACTAAATTGACTAAGGGTCGAATAATTGAGGGACCAATTCTGTCCAAATTGAAAAGTAGGGATAACATTGCATATGGACTACTAATTAAGAGACCAAAAGTGCGATTTTCCCTTTAATAAATACTCGTATAAAAGATGAAAATTTATCACTAAATATATTTTAAAATTTATTTATATTATAAATATAATATTAAAAAAATTTCTATTCATTTAAGCTAAACTCTAGTAATAAATAATCTAAAATTTTTCATCTTTCTGATAATTTCTTTTCCATATAATTTCAATTCCAATTTTTTTCCAAATATTTTATGCTAACCAAATCGCTTTGTAAAAGTTTATGGTGCCTAATTATATTATTTGAAATAGTAAAGGGGTGTAAATGTAATAATCCTTTTTAAGTGTCCATTTTGACAGGATTAGCCTTCAACTGTCTATTGATTATTACTGAAGTTCTCTTTACTGAAAAGGGGCTAAAAGCAACGATTATGTGCTTCAAATTCCCTGCAAATCGGAACTCCCAAAGCTCATTAGAAGAAAATGTCTTTGAATCTGTGAAGTACTGAATGTTGCGGCAACACCGATGGAACCTTCGGATATGATTATAGCTTAAAGGTGAATCCAAGGTCCTTGTAACTACGTATGGCGATTTCTCACCAAACGACCAGTGCATTCTACTTCTGCTACGCCGGCGGCGATTCCGGCAGAGCCTATTGCTGCAATGCCGTGCCCTTCAGATTCGGTTACTCCGTCAGGAGGAGACGTTTGGTAGTTGTGAGTCGCCGGAGGTTGTTAGCCACTGACCTCCGTGTCGGCGTTGCTGAAACCACGGCCGCCGACAGAAATGACGGCGCTGCTTCGTCCTCAGTGGTCGTTCCTTCCATCGAAATCCCCGTCACTTGCTATCAGGTCTTTCCTAGCTCTGTTTCTCTTGTATTTTTATTTGTATAGTACGTAAACGTGACCGTATGGAGAATGCGGTGATTTACTTTAGCTTAGCTCGAAAGTTTTTTTTTTTTTTTAATGCTTTTTTTTAATCCATATTTTTCTCAAAATGTATTGAGTTTTTGAGGTTGTACGGAGCTAAGTTGTTTATAAATCATTCTATTATTCTGTGCTGTGAACATTCTATTTTGTTCAATTTGAGTAAAGATGATATGGATTCAAGACATCAAGGAAACGAAATTGTTCTTACTGATGCTGTGAATCTCTGCTATGGTGTCTTGTGGGCAGTTGATTTGTAGGATTATTGGAGTGTATAGGTTCAGGAGTTTCTGAAACTTATTAAATGTGAGATGGAAAAGTATAGCAAAGCTAGAGGGAAGAAAATGTATTGCATAAGAGAATACATTAATTGAAATAAAGTATTCTCATCCTTCATTGTCTTCACTTACATGGAATGTTTTAAGAAGTCATAATTTGGAGGTTGATTGGATATAGTTGAAAAATAAAACTCTTGAGCTTCAAATTTTACCATTTAGACATGAGTTTGTGGTGGATAGAGAAAATCAGAAAATCGCTGCCATGGTTTGCTAGCCTCTTGATGCATTTTGTTCTGTATGACAACCAATGCAGTTACAAATTAGTAATTAGTAATTTAAAGTAATAAATTGCAATTGAGAGATCATAAAGTTACATCTAAATTGAGAAAATATGGCCCATGCTTCTCTATGTACTATTATCAAGGCCAACATGGGTTGGCTCAATTTGCAGAGGGGACAATAGAGCTTAGCAACTAAGCAACCTCAAGGTTGCAGACTTGCAGGTATGATTCCCCAAGTTCTCAGTAGCCTGTGTCGGTGCTCATCCCTCCTCAGGGATTTCCCTTTCTGTTCTCAAGCCTCTGCTTGCCCCTCTGGGGACTCCACCTGTGCTGGTCACTAGATTAGCAACATGGGACTGGCAGAAGTTGACTAGTTGAGTGGGTTCAGCTAGGGGGTTCTCAGCCATGCCATTGAGACTGCTTACATGGGAATCAATTGAAAAAGCTAAATTGCATCTTGTTTTATCAGGCTTGTTCTATATTTCAAATTGGATCATCCAATTGGCTGTTAAGTTCCATCGGAGCATGGGTGCTCCAACTTTGTTATGCTTTATTTATTTTAACTGTTTTGGTTGGAGTCGTTGGACTTGTCAAGCATGGAAGAGCAAATATTGGAAACATACTCAAGTTGCAGTAGATTTTTTTTGGGGACTTTCATGATATTTTAAAAAATAATAGATGAGAAAATGTAGATTGTGTATGGATGAAGTTTTTTGAACTTATACATGAATGAGGGAGAGGGATTGAATTTTTACAAAAAAGATTATCCTAATGCTTTTTAGATGGTCACATTCTATATTTTATATTGATCTCTGATCATTTTATGTACGTTTACAGCTTTATCAGAGCCAGGTCTTCAGCACCTTATATTGAAGCAATGATCTTCTCACTCAATAGTTTCTCTTTTATTTGTTTATTTATTTATTTTGCTTAATGATAATAATAATAATAGTAATAAAATCTGTGGAAGCTAGCAATGTGGTATTTGCCTCAGTGATTAATAACTTTTAATTCAGTTTTTGGAAGTCCTATATGATCATACAACAATGAATCGATACTTCTCTTAGTCTATGTGATTAACTCCAATTTATCCAATTTTGTGCAATCCTATGTGAAATTCTCACAAAAAAATTACTATTTTCTCAATCTTTCACATCAAAATCTATAACTTGTGCTCTCCATTCTATACATCTTGATTACTGGGCTATAGTATCTTCAATTAGTGCTTGCAGCTGTGTAAAATTGGCTAACAATTAACTAAGCTATTTTTTATAATCAAAAGCAAGGCTAGAAGACACTTTTCCAACAAGGGAAGAAGCCTTTGGTTAGAACTTGTGGTCTCATCTCTTTGTGATATAAACTTACAGATTCTTGGTGTCTCTAATAAAGCGGAGAAGGATGAGATTGTTAAGTCAGTGATGCATCTGAAAAATGCTGATGTTGAAGAGGGATACACTATGGATGCTGTTATTTCTCGCCAGGTAGTGATGCGATTCTGCTGTATTCATTAGGTAGTAGGAAATTTACATCTCTTTTAAGTTCCTTTTATGCATTGCTTTTATTCCCCAATCATGATCAATATAAGTGTACACTTTATCTTCAGAATCTTTTGATGGATGTGAGAGATAAGCTTCTTTTTGAGCCAGAATATGCTGGGAATATAAAAGAAAAGGTCCCACCAAGGCCTTTTATTCGAATACCCTGGGCTTGGTTGCCTGGTGCTCTTTGTCTGCTTCAAGAGGTGAACATCTTCTTCAAGAACACTTCATTTGGAAACTTATACCTGATATACAGTTGAGGAATATAGCGAGGATAGTAACCTGATTAAGTTTGTTATTTTGACTAGTTTTCTTTTTTGCCTTTATTCACACTGTTCATAGTACTTACATGTGTTCTATAAGTGTCGTATTTTCTTCATTTAAAAATATCTTAAACTTCATTTGGTATAAAGTTATGAGCATCAAATTAAGGCACTTTTCTTTGTAATTTTTTGAGGTAACAAATTGTTTAATTCAGGTTGGAGAAGAGAAGCTTGTGCTGGATATTGGACAAAAAGCCCTACAACATCCAGACTCAAAGCCTTACATCCACGATTTGCTTTTATCCATGGCACTAGCTGAGGTAAGGCTCAATAGAGAAGATGTCAGAAGTTATGCTGCCTTCTCTTGGCAGTTTTGTTATGCCTCCCCTTCTTATTATAGGTGCTTTCTTGAAGTGTGCAATTGCAAAACTTGGCTTTGAGAAGAACAATATTTCACAAGGTTTTGAAGCTCTTGCTCGTGCTCAGTGTCTTCTTAGGAGCAAAGTCTCTCTTGGGAAGATGACATTGTTGTCTCAGGTATAGTTCATGGAAGCTGTTTGCAGTTGCCTCGAGAATATTGTTAGGCCCCAAATAACAGTTGGTAGAAACTAGTGCATCCATAAGTCTACATTACGCATGCCCAGACTATATTGATTTACTCTTCTCTTCAACTTATCATGACTGGCTCCACTTTTACCTTGCTTTGAATGAAGTCATTCAGAAAAGTGTGTTGTGTTGTTAATTTGTCGAAATTTATGGTTAGGACAATATCTGATACTATTTTTGAATTGGGTCTATATGCTTTTCTACATTTTACCTTGCCTTTTTACATATAGTGGTTTTTCTTAAATTTGATGTTAGATAGAGGAATCCTTGGAAGAACTTGCACCGGCTTGCACTTTGGAATTACTGGGCATGCCTCATAGACCTGAAAATGCTGAACGAAGATTAGGAGCCATTTCTGCTTTGCGTGAATTACTTAGACAGGGCCTTGATGTAGAATCTTCATGCGAAGTTCAAGATTGGCCGTGCTTTTTAAGTCAAGCTTTCAGTAGGCTCATGGCTTCTGAGATAGTAGAACTCCTTCAGTGGGATAATTTGGCTCTCACAAGGAAGAACAAAAAATCACTTGAGTCGCAAAACCAAAGAGGTGTAATTGATTTTAATGGTTTCTATGTGGTTCTAATGGCTCATATCGCTCTTGGCTTTTCCAGCAAGCAAACAGATTTGGTAATGATATTTCATGCTCTGCAGTTCTAATTTACTGGTTTAATTATGCAGACTTAATAGTTGAATTCCTTTGAATAAAGCTGCTCTTACAAGGAAAGACAAATGGTCAATTTGTTTCAAATTTAATAGTTGTACTGCTTTAATTATTTATCTTGTTTTAATAACTCATATTACCCCTTGACTTTTCAAACATGCAAACAGATTTGTAATTACATTTTCAAGCATCGTGATGCTAGTTGTCTTGTTTAGCTTGAGTGCAATGTGCATTTATTCTGTTATAGAAGCTAATAGCTTATGTAATGGTTAATGAATCTATTTAGAAGTGATCAGATACACCTTTTATTCACTTCATTCTTTTTTGTTCTTTCACAGATTAACAGAGCAAAAATTATTTGTGAGTGTTTAATTGCATCAGAGGGTGTGAACTTAAAATTTGAGGAAGCCTTTTGCTTATTCCTTCTTGGGCAGGTACCCTTATTTTTTCACATCCCCTTGTGGTTCATCTTTTTATGTTCTTGGAAAATGAGAATTCCTGATTCTACAGGCTGATGAGGCAACTGCTGCTGAAAGGCTTCGACAACTTGAGCAGAACTCTAATGTGGGTTCAAGTGAAATAAATCCTATTAAGGAATTGGTTAATGCTTCAAGCGAAAACAAATCACTGGTATGTGTGTTATTGTGCTTTTAGTGACATTGTGAAACTGCTAGAGCTACTGTTTATGCAAGTACTCCTTGAACACAACTTGAATGTTTTTTTTAGGGTCACCTTTTGTTGTCATAATTTTTGAATGAAAACTGCTGAGTTTCTCCATGTTCAAGATTGTCCTCATTCTATCTGTGACATAGTTGTAGTTTATCACTGTATAACTACCTGCTACAGTCCAGATGTGCCTGTCAGTGGATGAAAGAGTTGGAAAGTCTGACTACAACAATTGTTAAGAGAGTTATGTGCTCTTGTCTTTACTTTCCTGCTCTTTTAGTTGTAGGTTATCAGTACATGGCAGTCTGCTACAGTTCATTTTCAGTGTATATAAGTCATGGAAAGCCTGATTACAACACATGCCAAGTGCAACATGCTCTTGTACCTTTTCTTTCACGCTCTTTTAAGCTTAGCAAAGTAGTGAATTGCCTAACACTTATTATGACTGTTGTACATGGTTACTCTTCTCTTTAGTTTGAATTCATGCCAACTTTGGACATTTACCTTGACCTCTTGTTGTCTACTAAGGTTGATGCTTTCTTTCTAGGATAAGGCTTTTGTTGTGTTGAACTGAAACAAATGATTTCTCTTATCAAAATGTCTTTACTATTTACCAGGAAACATGGCTTAAGGATGCTGTGCTCAGTTTGTTTCCAGATACACGAGACTGTTCCCCATCTTTGGTCAGCCATAAAATGCAGTATGAATATAACTATACTTGCCTTGTTAATACTGAGGAAACTAATATGTAGTTGTTAAACAGGCAAACTTCTTTCGTGGTGAAAAGCGCACTCCTTTATTTAAGGAAAATAAAAGGGTTTCACAGACTTCATCTCATATGAACCACAGACCAATTGCGCCTGCCATTTCGCAAGATCGAAGAGCTTTAGGTGAAACTGTTCCATGTGCTGACAGCTCACGACATCTTGGGCAAGCTGTAAAACAGTTAGCTCCACCTAATTTACAAGGCCCGATGATAGTGGACAAGGTCAATGGTCCTACTAATGGCACACCATCTATACAGTTGAAAAGAAATTTGGGTGCACGTCGACATGAAATTCAGGAAATTTTAAATAGCATCCTTGGGAAAATAATTGTTGTTGCTTGTTTTGGATGCATCCTCTTTGTCTCCTTTAAGATAATGAATATGGCATCATGGAGGGTGGGACACAGAACTAGATGGAGGCTAAGCACACCAAGGGTGACAAGCTCTACTTCCTGGATGACAGATGGTTCTCAAAATCCAAGATCCAGACATGCTAAAAGAAGCAGCATTGCCAGAAATTTGAAGAAGCTGCTTTCAAATCTAAGATTACCGGTCATGCAGCACCAAGAAGATACAGTTCTGGAAGGTAGTTGTCATGCTGCTAGTCTGTCATCTTCTATGAAAGCAGCATACAAGATGGCAATGCCTGCTGAAGAAGCTGAGAGCCTTGTTAAGAAATGGCAAACTATTAAAGCGGAGGCTCTTGGGCCTGATCATCATGTTGATGCCCTCTTTGATGTTCTTGATGAGTCAATGCTTGTTCAGGTGAGCTTTATAAATTCTCTGGGAGCAGCTGTGTCTCTAATTCATATCCTAAAACTTTCTGCCATTTTCCAATTTATTTATTTTCCATTCTTGCATTGTCAGATGTAGGGGTGTTCATTCGGGTAATTTGGTTACATGTTAACTGAATTATCCAAAACCAAATTAACTGAATGATCAATTTGGTAAAACCGTTAACCATAACTGAATTTTATTTTACCGAATTAATTGAACCGAATTTTATTTTGGTTAATTTAAATTTTTATTTTTCAATTTTTTTAATAAAAAATCTCTACAAAACTATCAAGGTTTCAATGTTTGACTCAAGGTCTCAAATTGGATTTTGGACTATTGGATTATGGATGGACTGAACATGGGCAAATGGGTTGTACTAAATCACTAAATTCTATATATAAAATATTTTATATATATATATATATATATATATATATATATATATATATATATATATATATATATATATATATATATATATATATATATATATATATTCATTAGCAATTTGGTTAATTTGCTTAAATTTCAAATTTTTGAACTGAATTAACTGTTAATTTTCTCAAAACCTTTAACTGTTCACTAAACCGACAAAGTTTGGTTAATAACCAAGTTAAAATTTTGTTCGGTTAACTGAAATTATTTCAGTGAAATGAACAGTCCTAATCATATGATTTAGAGAATGATTATATGGTATGAGTAATTGATATTGTCTGATTATACATGTAAGCCACACACAATGTAATCAAGCTCCGATACTCATATAATTATAAATATTTCAATATCTATTCAGTTCAGCACAATACAAGTTCTCACCAAGTAACACATTAGCTGGTGCACATCTATGAACACATGATCTGGCAATCATAGTTCTAGTTAGATGATATGTACTCAATTCGTTGTCCTAGGAGCACAATGAATAGATTGGTGCTTGAAATTAACAAATTCAGTGCTGAAGTTTTATGTTGGCTGGTTTAGTTACATTCTTTGTATTCGTTTGAACTAAAGCAAGATTTTATCGACTTCACCTTAATATGAGAACCTAAACTGATTAATGTCCTGCAACTATCTGCTTTGAATTTGTACTCTTCTGAACTATTTTGTAGTGGCAAGGTTTGGCTGATGCAGCGAAAGACAAATCATGCTTTTGGAGATTTGTTTTGCTGCAATTGTCAGTTCTGCGAGCAGACATTTTAACAGATGAGACTGGCAAGGAGATAGCAGAGATAGAGGCTCTCTTGGAAGAAGCAGCTGAACTTGTGGATGAATCACACCCCCCTACAAACCCCAACTACTACAGGTAATATAGTTTATTCTCAGGAAAGATGTCTGTTCATGCCTTGTGGTTGTGCAACTCTGCTTGTTTGTATTTGTTATGTGCTGGGGGGGAGGTGCAACAGTTAAATGTTGTGCTTTTGGTTTTAGCATTGCAAAAGAGTGCTGTTTTTAGTTTACAAAAGATTAGACATCAATGCCAAAGTCTGTCCATGCCCAATTACTCATTCTTACCCATCTGTTAGGCGGGGGGATTGAGCGTCTCAGGCTCTCAGCTACATATTAGTAGGGGATTGTTTTTAAGGCGAGGTGAGCTCGTTAGGCAACTGGTCTCCACCGACCGGACACCTACGCGACGCCTTAAACAACAATGATGTAAAGGATATTTGAACCCAAAAACATTTGTCATTGGTGCTATGTTTAAATGGCATTTTATAGTAGTTTGAAATAAACATGTATACCTTTTTTCAGCCAAATCTTCTGATGTAAGTCTGCAACTGTAGTTCTACATTCATTGGTTCTTCTCAGCTTAGGATGTTTTCAAAATGTTGCAATCATGATCATATGATTGAATAACCAATTCAGAAAATTATCGTTGGTATCCTCATCCATTTTCAGCTAAGAATGCCGATTTCTTTATGCTGCCATCTGAAAGAAAGATAATGAACAAAAAACAATGAAATAAGGTTCTGATTGTTAATGGTGCATATTTTTATTGTATTTTCTATGAACAATGGTACATATCGAATTTAAAAATAAAAATCTGTCAATAGTATCCCAATATCACTTTCTTCTTACTATTTTTATTTTTAAATTACAGTTCTTACAAAATCTCTTACCTCCTAAAGAGGCAAGATGATGGTACTTGGAGGTTTTGCGAAGGTGATATTCAGACTACATAGTTTTCAACATGGCAGTATTAGAGCTGCTTTTTTCCTTTATGTCCATATAACCTAATCTTCCTGCTGCATGCCTGTATACTATGAGATTATCAACCTGACAACAAACATCAACCAGAAAGGTAGTGACTAGCTTCATTTTTTTTTTTTTTTTTTTTTTTTTTTTTTTGGGTTCTTTAGTTTTCTCGTCTCTACAGCATGTAATGAGAACTAATTAAATTATAGCATGTTATTAACCTCATTTATTCCCACTCTTCTAACAGTCCTAATATCAATCTCATTATTGGTTTTATAGTTATAATTGATCTGGTATTTAGTCTGTGTGTGTGTGTATGTACTATGTGGAATTGGAATATTTGTGGTGTTTCTATAGTATGCTTAAAGAAGTTGTACAATGTGCTTTATTAGTGATATAAAGGTAAGAAAGTGCATTGTTATTAAGCACAGTATTTTATGATGATAGTATGCTTAGTGAAGTTGTACAATGTGCTTTATTAGTGATATAAGGATAGGAAAATTCATTGTTATTAAGCACAGTATTTGTGTCATCATAAAATTTTCTCACAAACTTAAAACTATAGTTTAAGAAGTGCTTACTCATGTTCTGGTTGTATTCGCATGATCATATTGTGTAAGACTGCAAATGCAATTAGAATAAAGTACATTAAGTTAGCATGTCATTTTAAGCATGGCTTATTCTAATTGACATGGGGGTTGGAGGTGGTTTAACCCTTCAAACTTTGTGTATTACTTCTACCCTGGTCTTTTAAATTAGTGTATAACGTATATAAAATTAAGGTTGTGTTTGGAAATCCGAAAAATGATTTTTGGAAATCATTTTTCGGGTTTTCCATGTTTGGAAGGGGTTGGAAAACCTAGTCAATGAAAAATATTTTCCGTTGATTGGAAAAAATCAAGTCAATTTGGTGGGAAATGACTTCTGCCAGATGACCAATAATGTTTCCGGCGGAAACCATACCACTGGTTTTTGTCGGAAACCTTAAAAAAAAAAAAAGAAATGAGAGGAAGGGAACAAGAGAACTTCTCTCTGGTTTACGGCGAGGGAAACCAAAGAGAAGTTCTCTCTGGTTTCTTCCGGCGAGGGAAACTAGAGAGAAGTTCTCTCTGGTTTCTTCCGGCAAAGGAAACCAGAGAGAAGTTCTTTCTGGTTTCTTCTGTCTTTTTTTTTTTTTAATAACTCTTTCAAAAAAAAAAAAAAATATATATATATATATATATATATATATATATATATATATATATATATATATATATATATATATATATATATATATATATATATATATATATATATATAACCATGTATGTAAGGGTATTTTTGGTATTTGTAATATAAAAGCTATTCCCATAAGCATGAGAATAGCTAATACCAAGGCTTCCCTAGGAATGGCTATTCCCTTGCAAAGGGAATAGGTCATTCCTATGAATAGTACTCCAATGACAAAGTGACGAACCAAACAATAGAATAGGTCAATTCCAAAGAATGTCATTCCATTCCTGACCTATTCCATGAACCAAACATGCCATTAGTATTACTTTGTCCAATTTTACATGTATTGTTTACTATTCATTGATCAAATTAATTATTTTTTCTCTGTTTATTTTTTTTATTTTTACATTTAATTTTTTTTATTTAATAATATTTTTAATGTAGTTTCTAAATATATAAATTTTATATAGAGTTAATTAAACCAGGGATCTTTTGTCTTCGGTGTCAATTTCAAATTTAGTCACAGACTGTCGTTTTTATCATTTAACATTTCAGACTATTATTTTTTGGATACTTTTAGTCTTTTTCATGGCTTTTCTTATTTTTAGTAAGGGTATTTTTGTCTTTTCATATTTTTTTGCTATTTTTCGATTTTAATTGATTTAAGATTTTATTAAAATCCAGTTGAAAAGTATGGTTACTAAAAATCAGAGGTTATTTAAAGTTTTAAACCAATTAAACGAGTTGAAATTGTAAAAATAACAAAAGAAAAATATGAAAAGATAAAAATACTCTTACTAAAAATAGAAAATGTCATGAGAAGGAATAAAAGTGTCTAAAAAGATAAAAATAATAGTCGATGTTAAATGATAAAAAGTCTAGGACTAAATTTGAAATTGTCACCAAACACAAGAGACTTTTGGTGGAATTAACTCTTTTATATATTAATACTAAATTTAATATTATAAAAAATTGAATTAAAACAAACCTCGCTAATTGAACTGGACATTATGGGACGAAGGGTGGATATTATTAATATTTTATTCTTAAGATAATTAAAATATCAAAATAATATTTTGTCAAGTCTCATTTACATTAGAATCAATCATTGTGGTATATAACATTATACCTTTGCAAAATCATTTTGAGCATGTATATATATTTCTAAATAAAAATGCTGAATTATCAACTAAGTTATTTATGTTGGTTTTCAGATTTTTTAGGGTAACCACGCGGTGGTCCAATATTATCGAAAAATAAGCAATAAATAAAGTGAAGAGGAAAAAATAAAGGAGACACTATTTTTAACGTGGAAATTGAAAGGTTAAAACCACGGGCCTTTTTGGGTAGTGTCAAGGCAAAATTCATTATCTTTTGTAGATAACTAGTACATGTACAATTTGTGTTGTATAAAGAGATGTAGATGGCGTGTGGAGAGATGAAGATGATGTAGAGGGGTGAAGATGACTTGCCTTGATTGAGCTCTCTTCTTGTATTTATAGTAGAAGAAATATGGTAATGTGATATGTTTATGGTAATTGGGTATTTATAGTAGAGTGGAATATTTAATGTAGGGATGGCAACGGGGCGGGGCGGGGCGGGGGCGGGGAGTATACTCCCCGTCCCCGTCCCCGCTACCCCGACCCCATCCCCATCCCCGTCCCCGTCCCCGTCCCCGGCGGGGGCTTGAAAAAATTCCCCATCCCCGTTCCCGCGGGGATTTTGGCGGGGACGGGGAATCCCCATCCCCGGTCAACTCATAGTCAAAGTGTTAAACTAGTAGAAATAAAAAGAAAAAAATTGAAATGACAATTAAAATTTAACTATTTTTAATAAAATACGAACTAATGAAGTTCAAATTAAATTCCAATCCGAAAGAGCAAATATATACTAAAAATAGTTTAACATTCAAACATTATGAATTATATTGACTTATTGTTGTTACTTATTGTTGTTATATACATAGTAATACAGTGCACGTATTATTCCAATGTATACACATTCAAATATTCTATTTCCTAATCCTAAAATAATATTCTATATATTATTTATTTATTTATTTTAATTTTTTTATTTATTTTCGGGGACGGGGCGGGGCGGGGCGGGGAGTGGTATCCCCGTCCCCGAGGGGAGTTTGTGAAATTCCCCATCCCCGTCCCCGATCCCCGAAATTTTTCCCCGTCCCCGTCCCCATCCCCTACGGGGGCGGGGATCCCCAACGGGGAAGGGGTACATTGTCATCCCTAATTTAATGGGAAATAGAGGAATTTAGGAAGTATAAATGGGTTTACGGAATATAAAGATATTTAGGTAATAGGAAATGATATAAGACTGAAAGGAATATTTAGGAAGGTAATTTATTAGGGTTGACTTGCTTAATCTCGGGTTACCATATAATTCTTTTTTCCACCGTCAAGGATAACTGTCTGTCAAGACTAGTTGGTCATGATCCGAGTGTTGAGTGCCAAGTGCTAAGTTCGGCTGGGTGTCCATACTGGGTATCCAACAATTTACATTATACTTTTGGCCCTTCCAAAATATGATTTTGGATACCACCCCTGCTAGAATGTGAGTCTAATTAAAATATATCATACTTGCATGTGTTTGTGTATTTGTTCATGCAGTTTATACAGGGATTGCGTGCAAGCCCAATTAAAATAAAGTGGATTTAAGTAGCACGTTGCGCAAGCAAAAATTATGTTCTTTTGTATTTGTAGTACAAGCTATGCAGGAGCAGTAAGCAAACTAATAGTTGAATTTTATTTTAATAAGCTATAAGGTGCAAACTGAATTATCATTTCGAGCAACTTTTATCCTTTTGTACTTCGTGATTGTTACATAGGTGAGATAAGATTGGTTGTAATTAGAGAACATGTTAATTGATATATCTACTTATTATCTTTTTACACATCACTACAATTTTTTCAATTAATTTATAGTTTGGAAAAAATATCTCAAATTAGAAGAGTTGTTCCCGGATAAGGCATAACAAAAAATTGACAAAAAAAATTAATTTTCAGAGGATATGTAGTGGTCATTTTGATGATTGAGGATTATATGTAGAGGAGTAAATAATTAAAATGGTCTTTCGGCTATGGTATAATTTTTAAATTGATTTTCGACCATCAATTTTATTAAATTACATCTTCAACTATGTAAAACTAAACTTACCTATTTAAGTTTGATAGCGTTAATAGTCGAGGATTATTCGCTAAAAAAAGTACGATAATAATAATAGACAGAGTGAACTTCAATATTATACATGAGAATCCTTAGTACACTTAGAGGTTACACGTAAACTCACGAAGCTCCAAGTAGGTCACCTAAGAGTTCTTCTTCTTAGGTTGACCATTCGGTCTACTACTGCAAGATCTATTTTGTATAGTACTTGAGGTACTATTCAGGTTAGCTCGCGAATATGTACCTTTCGGAAGCTCCACAACCTTTCGAGCAGTGTCACCTACTCGAATGATTGTCCTTACCACTCGTTTCATACTTTACTTCGGAATGTAGGCCCTTCCATCATTCAATCTTTGCAACCTTTCGGTCTTGTAGTTTTCTACTCTTCGAGTCTTCATCTTCAATCTTCAACTCTTCGAGGTCTTCATCTTCAAGCTATTCAAAAGATAATCATTCGAATGTATTGTTGAGACTGGTCGAAACGTAACCTTTTGAGTTATCATTCGGATTGATTTGTCTATCTGAATCGTCACTTCTCGAGTTACTATTCGGACTAATCGAATCTGTGCAGAAATAGCCTCAGTCTAAAAGATAAAATAAATAGGGTACTAAAATTCCTAACTTTTGGTATCATTAAAATCTAAATACAAATTTTCATATAGTGACCGACTATCAGGTAGCCTACTTGGGTTGAGTAGCTAAGAACCTCACCTCTTTTCAATGTAAAGGCATGAAAAAACATGGTCAGTCGGCTTCGTTGCGAGGGGTGACTGGTTGACTTTCGACCTCATACGCCAACTGATTATTCTGGGCGGCATGGTCGCCTAGCACACAGACCAGGATGCCTACACGCCCACTTCCATTGTAAAAGTCAGATCTCCTTTCCAT